CACCACTTCAACACCATGTGGTTTTTTCGGATCAACAGGTGGTCCCACTCGTGCCAATCCAAGACCGCACAAGAAAAGTAGTATATGCTCCAACTAAAAAAAATAAAATAACATGCGATGAAAAGAGTTTTTACTTGAATGGATAATGAGCTATGATTTAAAAAAAAACCCAAAAGGTATTACGCAGCTTAGGGTCGAATGGCGTGGAATCGCTGCACCTAGTCAGCAGTCTTTAGCAGAAGACTTGGATGTACAAATCCTGTCAAATTCTTCCAAAATCAACATCGTTCATCTACGGCCTGCTGCTCAGGGGCGTACCAACACTTTGTAACTGACGTTTCTATTGCACGTTCCAGCTAGCTTTCTTAATTTTTGCGTAACATCACTAGCATGGGATCCCTACAACGATCTTCCCTTTAAATAAAATTTGTGTGGCAAAACAGAGAGAGAGCGAGAACCTTAGTTCTGATAGCTCAAAGAACTTAACTAATGGTTTTCTTGACCGAAAGGCCCGATGGTTTTTTTTGGCCGAAAAACCCAAAGGTTTTTTTTGGCCGAAAAAAAGCCTCTGCAAGTGAACCTAAAACAATCTGGTTTCGATGCTGAGCATGTACCCAAAACTTTGTTCCTGTAGATTATTTTAAGGGATTGTTAAAAAATCACCAGTGCACTGTTAACAAATGTTTTGGTTTTTGCTTTTTGAAAAAAAAAATCCATCTAAACACGATTGGTCGCATTTTTATAACCCGGCGGAACAGCGAGTTCCCGATCCTTTTTAACCGGCACTGTTATTAACAGCATCAGAAAAACTAGGATAATTGCCGATTCTATTTGTGGTATACTAGCATTTGTTAGTAAAAAATTCAGCGAATCATGGAAAGTTTGTTCCATTATCGGCTCAACCTCCAACCCCCGGATTATGGCGTTAAGATTACAGCCTGTTCAACTGACGGCCGCATAGGTGCAAACTGCTAACGATTTTGATTCCATGACATACTCCAGCCCCAATTTACCATTAAACACATCATAGAGGAATTGAGTTGTCTCATCGACGGAGTCGAACTCTCGATCTTCAGTACAACAGCAGAGCTGCTTGCCACTGCGCCATGCCTGCCTCCAAAGGCGCAACTTTTCAATCAGAAAAAAAGGAATCATTACCTGTAAGACAGCTTTCCTGTTGCCAAGTAATTCGATACGTATGTCAAGTGGAAGATCGCTTATGAGCATATGCCGCTGAATTGGATCTTTCAAATACGGTTCAATTTTTTCTACCTGCAATAAACTGAATGCCCTTATAGCAAGAATTTAGGTAATTTTGCCAAAGATTTTACAAATTTAAA